TCTCTTTTATGATAAACAATGAGAAAAAAATAAGTGTGAAAAAAATAAATCCAGCTTAAGCTTTGTCATTCTGCTGTTTCATAGGTGAAAATGGCAATCATTGATTTCTGGGCTCGGTTCTTTCTTCGTGAACTCTCAGACAGATTTATTTCTGACAGGAAATGTGTTTTTTCTTCTTCTCAGAAGCTGCACAGCAATTACTTGATGCTGAAATTACCTTTTGAAAGAGACATTCCTGTTATAAAAGCGATGCAGGTTTATTCTCTGATTCTGTTTTTTTCTGCTGTAAGGTGATTTTTTTTCTTTTAAAAATATCAATCATGTTCTCTCGTCTTTGCAAACTGCTGTTGCCAAAGCTGTTTTGGTGTGTTTCTCTGTTTGTGTATTCATTTAAGTGTTGTCAAATTTGTGAAAGTTTTGTCACCCTACACTACATACACTATGTTGATATATTAATTGACCTATCAGATGTGAAATGGTCTAATTTTACATGTGAAATATTTTTTTATGCTTCTATGTGAATTGTTCATTTTTAATAGTCATATTATTAATTATAATTTAATAATATTAGTATTTAATCAAATAAGACAATTATTAATTAAAATACCAATATAATATATAAATAAACTTAAATTAAAATTGGAAGTTAACCTAATGTCCTCCATTTTTAATGTGTAAATGCTGATTTTAAATGTGTGTGTATGCACGTGTCGGCCATGTATTCTTTGGTTATTGAATCTGCAGACACACATTGATCTGCTGTATGTCCAGATCTGAATGTCATTGTATGTGAATGGGTGAAAAACACATGAATTCACGGCGTATGTATGTGCATATGTCTTTCTCCATCTTGGCTCGGTGACATTCCTATGACACAATGGTTGTCATGTCAGTCCAAATGTCCAGTCAGCAGTCCACCATGCTAAGCTAGCATCTGTGAGGTAAAGCTCCCTCATGCAAAAAAATAAAAGGGTGAAATGGGAAAGTGATGTCATCCTGTCTGCTCAGAGAAAGAGAGAGAGACTAACGAGGTCCAAAAAAAAAGAGAAAGAAACCCAACAACCGCTTCATCAGCGGAACGCTCGACCCTGCACTCGAGGTAACCGACCAGAAAACGTCACCCGGCTGTCCTGCAGCGACACGAGGAAGTGATGTCACCCTGTTGGCTGCAACGACTCTCCTTCCCAACAGGACTCTGATACAAACAAAACAGAAAGCTCAGTGAACGATTTCACAGCTCTGGTCTTTCAGCAACGTGACAGAGGGGACGTTGGTTAGTCATATGTTAATCCTCAGTGAAACAGATTACAGGTGCAAACTGTTCTGGGAGAGGAACTTTTCTTTGTCTTATTCACTTCATTTGAAGCACGTCAGGACTGTTAACAGTTTATACTTAGCTTGTTTAGAGTCTTAGTGACCAGTATTATTGCTTAAATACTTTAAAAGTTAATACTTTTAAAATTACAACCCATCATAAAAAGACTAAAACCACATCACATTTTCATTTTCGTCTCCAAGCTTATAGTAAACTGATGGAGTACTGTGGTGGAACACTTCTGACAGTAATAATGAAAATCTATTACTCACTGACTCACCGCCTATAGGCTTGAAAAGTGGCAGTGAAAGCAGCAGACCTTTCACTGCCACTTTTCAGTGGCTGTGGTAAACTTGAATTAATGTCAATTAATTCGTTCCCAGTGGCCATCGTATTCACAGATAAGGACTATTGTCTGTGACGACTATTTTAGACCCTTTTGCCTGCAGATTTTCGTGCCTAGTTTTGGGTTTTTCTGAGTGTGTTGTTGAGGCCAAACAAACCTGTTTCTTTATCATAAAATATTTGCAAACCCACTTTTGAAAAATATTTCCAAACCTGCACTGTTTACAGTCAGCTTCTCCCCGTTTGCTGGCTTTGTTTATTTTGGCATGCTATCACCACAGACTGTCGTTTAGTAGAAGCAATTGTCAGGAATATATTTTGCCACTTGCATACTCATGCACAAAATGGGGACCTACTCACAAAAACACTGTTCCATAACACTACTAGTTGCCATAAACTCCACAGAATACCTTTAATTCTGCTGTGGTTATATGTATAAGTGCAAAAACTCAAAATGATGTTCCCTTTTCCAGTAAGCTTAGCTGGTTGTTGTTGGGACAAACAACACTACGCAAAAGGTATGTGCACACTTATTACATGAATATGTGTGTATGCATATATGGGCATTAATCTGCTGCTATAAGATCCTCCACTCTTCTAGTTTTAGTCTTCTTTCCATCAGATGCTGAAACTGGCTGCAGGGATTTGTTCTCAATCTGCCATGAGAGCATTAGTAAGGCCCAACACTGATGCTGAGTGATAAGGTCTGGCTCACAGTCGCTGTTCCAGTTCACCCCAAAGGTGTTAGATGGGGTTGAGGTCAGAGCTCTGTGCAGGCCAGTCAAGTTCTTCCACACCAAACTGGGAAAACAGTTTCTTTATGCAGCTGGCTTTGTTCACGGGGGACAATGTCATGCCAAAACAAGAAAGGGCCTTCTACAAAATGTTACCACAGTCAGGCGCTCCCTATTGTGTACAATATTATTGTATGACGTTGCATTAATATTTCTCTTCACTGGAACTAAGGGACCTGACAAAAGCATGAAAAAGAGCCCCAAATCAAAGAGTACCGAAGAATATCCACCCACTTATGTCCACATCATTTCTGATGAATTTAATACATTGGGAAGGTGAGTCTCCCTTTTCTTAAATAGACTGCCATGTGTGTCTATAAAAAGAATAAGTGTGATCGAACGTTTCATCCAGTAACTTTCCACTCAGCACTTAAGGCTTTCAGCTACGTGGCTGGAATAGTGTGACTGCACTGACGGTTGGTGTCCAGTCCACTTACTGCAGTGAGATTATGGGAGATTTTTGTCTCAGACCAAAAAGGTGTCATCCTGAAGGAAACCAGCCATCCTCATTACAGAGTTTATGATTGAAATGTCAAACTACAACAAAGTCGCTTTCCAGACTGTTTGGTTTAAGTTGAAACTTTCTACCAACAACCTGCAGCGAAACATCAAATCACCGCTGTCCTGCAGCGCCCTCGGCTGAGAGCAATTATTCGGAATTAAATCCCATTCACTGTTCAGCTAGCAGCAAGAACAAGGTAAGGTCTGACAAGCTGTCAACTGGGAAAAGGAAAGAAGAGCTGCAGAGTGAGTCTTCCATCCACTGAGCTGTCTTTTTATCATTAACCTTGAAGAATGTTGACTTTTAACAAGCTCACTCCTCTTCTTCTGCTCGGCTGCTTTTTAACATCTTATTTAAGCCGACAGGTGAGGGAGGAGTTCAGCACTTTCACACAGGTCTTGTACCATACCTCAGTCTTTTTTCCTGCTTCTACAGTCCTGATGAACTAGGCTCCTGTAGCAATAGTTGTTTAGGTAACAGAGAGTGTTCATCACTCGGACAGACAGGATTCGATCCAGTAAGTTTTCTTTCCAACTCCAACTCTGTCTCCTACAAAGTACCTTTATATATTAATCAGATTTACATTTTTGGAAGGAAACACACTGCTGCCTGGCAAAATTTTTTAAAATCAATAAAGGGTGACCCCTTATACTGCATAGAAGTGATAAAAGGGAGGTTAGGTTGGAAGGTTGGTTGGACGAAGCACACACCAGGGTCTGTGTACTGCATCCTACATGCTGCTAGGTTTAGATTCCTGAAACAGTTTGTTAAGGAAAGGGTGCTGTTTCTTTATGTCCATGTAAAATGACAAAGAAATTGGTAATGAGTAAGTGTGTGCAGTGTGTGCATATATTTTTCATCTTTTAATTTGTAATGTTTCCACAAAATGTATTTGCTGACATTTGCTGATTAGCTTTTCAGTCAAATTTTGCCAATGTCTTTATCTTGATGTCTAAATGTGTTTTGGCCTATTATGAAATTAATTCTTTACTGCCCTTTAAAATGTCTTCTTTTTTCATATACACTACACTAAGCAGTCTTTATACCACACCCTTTTGTCTGCACTTTGCTGATTAAATGACATTTTACTGCATTATAGTAGGACTACAGTAACTATCTTCAAGGTGTTACTCATCTTTGCACACATAGTGGTAATATTACATGTAGCTGTGATGTAATCTGCTTGTACTTGAACAAATACATCCTGGGATGACCGGCTGACCGGCTGAAAGAAAAAAAAAAAGAAGAAAAGCCGTGCTCCAAACTGTTTGTGTTGCTGCAGGACGTAGACAACATACAGTGAGGGGACAGAGACATGAAAAAGTAATACCAGAAAGTGTAACGTCAGCCATTCTTAAATCTCTGATATAACACTCTCCCTAAAGCCTTTTTATCTGTAGTAACAGGACAAGTTTTAAGTCTTCAACATCATCATCCCAAACTGGAAAGCCTGCAATTTAAAGCGAGGCAGGAAAAAGAGCCCCGAGAGCAGCTGAGGACGGTTCATGTTTTATTATTTGATCATAAACCTTTGAGAACAGCTGGTAGATGTCCAGCCAAGAAGACCAAAAGACATTCCTCACAGGAGGTGCATCCGTCCCATTAGCTGGACTGAGCTCATTTGATTTGACTTTTGGCATAAATACACTGAGCAAGACGCATTTTGCATTCCTAGAGAATGTTTTTGTTCTCCACAAACTGTGTACTGAGGTTTGTCTCCCAGGCTGCTTTGCAATGAGTACGACACACAGCGGAGTAATTGGAAAATATGGAAACAAACCGTGACAAGAAAAGCCTGGAGTCACTAGTTGTTCCACAAGAGTATAAAATTTGTGCTCTGTGAGTTTTTGATTGTTTGCAAACCTTGTTTCAGTGCAAAAAAAAACAAGGTTTGTATGAATGATTCCACTTTACGAACAAGACTCACTCTGCAGGGGCTGAGGATGTCTCTTCTGACTTCAAAAACTTTAAACCGAACAGAAGAAACACACTTTTCTCTACAAACAGATTTGTGGTATACATGCTCCTTCCATGTGCACGGTACCTGACAGTATGAAGAATATTCCGGAGACGAAGGCGAGGATGGTGCGCTGCGGTCGGATGTGTCCGATGTTGCTGATGACGAAGGCTGTGAATACGAAGAGCAGGGAGACCATGGGGAAGGGAGTGGCAGTACGGACCATTTCTGCAGGAAAGGGAGGAATTGGAGAGGAGAGGGCAAGAGAAGGACAGACGTGATAAAAATACGATCCTGCAGAGAAGAACGATGTCTATGAATGAAGAACTGAAAGGAGTGGCCGAGCTGAAAGATGAACCTTCTTTAAAGAGGCAACAAAAGGTCTAAAATATAAATAATTCAAAATGTTATCACCTTGCTTCTTGAGTTATTAGTGTTCAAACTGTTGAAGGCAAAGATGTGAGTAAGTTTGACATAACAAAGTATGAATATTAACAAAGTTATTTGTGAGAAACCTTTCTTTTGATCTTTTATTTATTCATCTATTTCATTAAAAAGGGCAGCAAAATGGTTATTTTGTGTATTTTTACAATGATGTTGCATTTAAAATGATTTACTTTCTTATCTTCTTTCATCAATGATCAAAACAACTTTAAACCAGAGGACTGATCCCTCACCTCATCCTCCACTGCTAAGATCATTGCCTGGCAAGTCCAAAATTGTCAGTTTCAACTTTTTAAATCTGTAATTTGTTGTTGGTTTTGGGTTTTAGTTCATTTATTTCCCGTTTTATGTTGAAAGACCTCATCATCTGTCTCCTCACTATCACTTCACTTCCTGTCTTCGTCTTTTTTCCGCCGTTTTCAGTGTCCCCTGTGTCTGCTTGATCAGTCTCACCTGTGCCTCATTATCCTTCCCTCGCTGGTGTATTTAGTCTTTGTGTTCCCCTGTTTCAATGCCAGTTCGTCGTAAGCGCTCCAGCCGTTCCCAGTGTTTAGTTCTCAGTGTTCTTTGCCTTGATTTCTTGAAATCGTTTTATGCATTTGGCTTCAATCTCTTCAATCTCTCCTCATTATCTGGCTTTGTATAAAAATATCTAACATGAATAAAACCTTGTCATTGCACATATTAGTTGGTTTGGTTCCTTTTCAAAACTTCAACTTTGTTTGCCATAAAACTACTAAAGCACTGAAATCACTAATTTTATAGCATATATTAAATATAATGCTAAAATTACCTAAACACGCCTAAAAACAACATTTACCCACAGTAAATTAAAAGCTGTTCTTCAACCATTTGCAGTATATGCATGGTTTTGGTCTCATTTAAAAGATAACACTTAACAAGATGACAAAAACAGCTGTCCATGGGCATTTATCTGTGTGCTCATGCAGATGGACAATAAATCTTACTGGAGTGGATATATTGGACCTTTGGCAATGAAACAGGACTGTTTTTGTTGGATTATTACTGATTCCAGGATTACAATGAGGCTTCTTGGGTGAGTTGGCTCAATTTTATGATTGCTTGCCCGCTAGTTTGAGGCGCCGATTGTGCCTGCTGTTGTGACTGTATCCAAAAAGTGTTTTGATCAATAAATAGACGAGATTCTCAGCTTTCCAATGATGTATGGTATGGGTACTAAATCCAACATGGTGGAATGTAAACATGGCGGTATGTCAACGGCCCGGATAAGAGAAGGTTAATTGGCTAAAATAAAAAAAATCAATAATTGGTGATTAATCCTTAAAGCAGCATTAATGTTAGTGTTTTGGTCTTTTGCAGGCAGCAGAAAAGCTATAAACACAACACTGACATATCGACTTATAAACTTACAGTAAAGGAAACAAAAGCAAATGCAGATCAGCATTATCATTAATTTGGAGTCCAATATTCACTCTTCTTTTAGCTCTGTGTTGGTGTTCACCAACTCCTGGGAGAAATATCTACCTGCTAAATGTTAAAAAGCTAGTCGCGTAACTTTGTCAACCATTATTTGAGCTTTTTTGGTCCAACCAAGTTAAACTGTATTCATGTCAAACCAAAACAATGAGCTGAATGACCCTAAAACAGATCTGAGGGGAACTCCAGACTGGGGTGATATGTGGGTTTATCACTACAGGTGGCCATTTTCATATTACACATATTCATTAGATCATTAGATTAGATTATATGGGAATATTGATTAGTGCAGCTTTAAAGTCAGACTCAAATTAGCTGCAAACGTGTTTGGTTTGTTGTTGAAATCTACATTGGGATGCATGGCATTCAACACTTTTGCTTTTGAGAATATAATAATAATGAGTATCTTTATGTTACTTATTCTCTGTTGGTACCTAGCATTAGCTTTGTAGCACGCTAGTGTGAAGACACTGACTCATCCTTTTCTTATAATTCTAGCCATGAACCTAAAAAAAAAATCTACCATGTTTTTTGTTTGAAGGTTAAGTGCATTAACTTGACTTGACCAAGAGCTGGGAGATACTCAAGTGTTTACCCAGCAAAACATGGCATGGGAAATGTAGAAAAAATACACACAGAAGAATAAATAAAACACCTATTTTCTGATGACATGATTATTTAAAAAAAAACAGGGAAAAAATGAGTTCCAGTTCGTATAGTTTTCCACTGGATACTTACAACCAGAGGTCTGTTGGAGCTCACTCCAGGTTATGTTATTATTTATTCAGCAACCTCTCCCACAATGCCACCACAGTGTTATGACCTGAGTGTCTACCTGAGGACATTTATCTAGCATTAAACGGACCAAATGTCCCACCCTCCCCTCCCTTGGTGTCCCCAACAACAGTTTGTGCTTTACTTCAAAGAAACAGAACAAACCGAGCACTTTGAAGCCAGTTCACAGTGTCAACATCTTAAATCATTAAAACAGCTCAGAGACAAAACCGCTCCGTGGGGAACTCCGGTGAGCTCTCGACATTCATTTTCTGTTTGATCAAACAAAAAAAGTTCAGTATACAGTGTTCTTTAAAAATAAATATAGTTCTTCACAGGTTCTTTGGCCAACGTTGGGAGTTCAGGTAACCTTTCAGTTGTGAAATCAAACAAAACTGTAAGAAACTGAATCAGTTACCATCACGAAATGTAATGAATTTATAATAGGCATACATATCATAGTTGTCCTGTGAAATCCATGTATCTTCAAAATGTCAACTTTTTATGACCTGCGGGAAACTGTCTGACTGATTTCAGCAGTGTTTATGATAATTCACTGGGTTTCTATTTGGTTTATTAAGAAGCAGGGTCATTGTCTCGGTCCATTTCCTTCAGGTTGACCAAAAAACTAAAAGATTTTGACTGACAGCAATGCAACTTATAAATTCATTATTCTGTAAAAGGTTTAGTGAAAATATATCTACATTTACTCAAGTGCTGTACTTAAGGTACATGTAATTTATGTATTATTTAAATCTTTTGCTACTTTTCACAATATTTATCTTCCAACTTTAGTCACTTACTCTGCAGATTCTGACTGTTGATAAAAAAGTTCAATCTTATTAATCCCCGGGGGGAAATTCACAAGCTACCCAGCAGTATATAAATACTTTTTTATATATCATCAGCTGCAAGTTGAAGTCACATTAATGCATCAGTAATTATAGTAATTCTGAGATGTCCATTCTGCATAATGACTGTTTTCACTTTTGGTATATTTTGGTGCTAATATTGTTGTACTCTTACTTTGCCTTTACTTAAAGCACTAGGGTGTGTAGGGTTTAGTGGCATTAAGCAGGAAAGTTGCTGATAACAACCCCCTTGCCTCATCCTCCCATTCCAAACGTGCAGTAGAAACTACGGTGGCTGTGAAACATGGCAGTTCAACATGGTGGCCTCTGTGGCGGCCTCTCTAGTTAAAAACATACCTTTTGAATATCATGCATTTCTGCCAGAAGATGCTCCTAAATGTTATACACTGGACTTTTAAGTAGACAGTCTGAGTACTTCTTCCACAAATGAAAGCAGATTATATAGAACATAGTTCTACTCTGAGTTTCTTCCACCAATATTGGGATTCTAAGTAAATTACTAGAATCACAAACAGAGTTGGGGAATATTTGTTGGCGACAAACAGCGGCCTGATTAGACCTCAATAGCCCCTGATCCCGATTAAATCTCATCTACTATGTGTGAATTCGCTCCTGCCTCATCCTGTCAGTAGTTAGAAAACAGACGGGGAGTAAAATAGAAATAAATCTTGTTTATTTGGTGTTTTTCAATTTTTATTAAGCTCTTCACAGGTGGACCTCACTCTCCCTTCCTAACCTCAGAATCTGTACACCATTCTATATGGTTAATAAACTTTTATTTATTTTAGGATGTTACATTGCAGCTAATTACTTGAATATCTCTCTCTCTATATATATATATATGGATCTTCTAAGTGTTCTTTAATGCTTTTGCCTTGTTGTTAGTAGAACAATGAATATAAGTGTGCTGATTCTGGTGTACTGAAGTTGTATTTAAATGTGAGGTCCAGCACCTAGTAAACCTCAAGAACCTCACATAAATTGTATAATAATGTAAGAATAAACAATATTTCTATCTTTTTTTGGAGGAAAAGATAACCAAATTTCTATACTGGAGCTCAATTTCTACAACAAGCAGTGACATATATATTGGATTTAACTTTTAGTATAGTTTCAGAGCTGTATGTATGTGGGGGATGCGACTTACTGAGTATGTTGGCTGTATTTTCTGTCGTGATCTCTATCTCTGGCTCGGTGAAATACTCTGACGCCACACATCTGCCCTTCTCTGGCCCTGAGAGAGAGAGAGAGAGAGAAACAGACAGAGAAAGACCGTATTAAGAAAGGAAAGAAGAGACTAGAAGGAGGCATTTGAGTCTTCTTTGGGTCACAAGCAATATGGAAATATTTGCATACAGAAAGAAAACCAGAATAAATAAACAAACCAAAAACCGAGATAAAAAAAACGAGAAAGGGCAGACAGAGAGGCAGAAACAGAGCGACGGCGGAGACAAACAAAGAGATTTAGTGAGGATGAATGAAAAGAGAGGTGAGAGAGGATAAACAGACCCCAAAAGAGAAAATGAAAAGAGAGAAAACAGGGAGCCAGAGAATGGAAGCGAGAGAAAAAGTGAATTAGAGGTAGAGACAGATGGAGGTCAGGAGGTGCGGGAAAGAACAAGGTCTTAGCTGAGAGAGAGAGGAGCTGAATACAGACAAGACGATTAACCTCAAACTGTAGGCACAGAGAGAGAGGACACACACACACACACACACACACACACACACAAACACACACCAAACAGACATTTATACACACACTAAAAAATGTCAACACAATGATGCACACATGTACAGACAAACATGATTTCTTTCTCTCTCTCTCTCTCTCTCTCTCTCTCTCTCTCTCTCACACACACACACACACACACACACGGCCGTTCTAAATGCCACCAGCGTTTTCCTCCTCTGACCTTTTGTACCAGGCGTCAGACAACAGGGAAACACAAACATGGCCGCCTCCCCAGAGCAACACCATCATGACCCGAGACACAGAGACAGCTAGTGCAATAAGGACAGTTATTTGTATCTGTGGTCTCCACCCTGCTGTGTGTGTTTGAATACATGCCTGAATGAAAACGTATCCTTGTTTTTTCTGTTGGGGCACCGTGATCTTTAATCCATCTATCTTTTAAATTACTTCTTAACTGATTGTCTCATTGTTTATCGCTATTGAACGTTCAATTTAAACATGATCTTTGGCTGTAAGTCATTAGCATTACATCTTATATAAGGGTTATTATGGTTAGCTAATGGCAGTGAGTCTGACAGGTCAAAACAGACGTGGAAAATCAGTGGCGTGTCACCCTGAAATGAAAAGCTGTGAAAAGAAAGGGCACTTTAACATGAACCACCGAGGCTTCCTGCACTAAGTGCTCTGATTGGTTCCATTCAAACGGTGGTATTGTGTAGTCAGAATGCAATCTGTACTCTTTCACAGGAGTACATTTAATGCGCTCATGTGTTCATGTCACGATAACATCATTAGCAGCATTCTTGCCCTTTTGTGCCTGCCCGGTCGCAACAGCGGGGAGGAGCACAGCGAAGTTAATCTGCACGGTCTTGCAAAATGGATGACGCTGGAAGCTTTAGAGCGTTAGACACAATACTTTTCTTTATTACTCAATGAGCACTGTAGGAAGGTTAGCAACATTATTTCACATGCATTAAAATGAAAAGAAACGTAGACAATAGCGTCTATTGCCTTGTTTCCGAAATCAAACACTGGAAATCCGAAACAATAAAGAATCAAATGATGAACAGATAGAAGAAAAAAAAACAATCAGCCAACCAGCACACACTGGGAATTACTCAATAACTATTTGTAACTATTCAATAACTGTAGTCAGTTTAGTGCCTAGTTGCATTCTTGGTTTCAAATCTCAGTCAGTTAATTGAAGCGAACATATTCACATTATGGACCCCTGTCTCGTGGGTTATGCTGTGGTTTTATACATGTAAACTCGGATGATGCCACACACAGATAATATGGCAGCTTCCTCTCTTTTGGGCTCCAAACTCGACAGTGTGAAGATCGCTTGTTGTTCAACACCGGGAATTTGCTGCCATGTATCAGTGCAGAATGTATCTCTGCAAGGGAATCCACCAGCGACTCCACTGAGATCACTTGTTTGAAGTTTCACTGGCCTTCGGCCTACGTGATCTACTTTTTTTATGAAGGAAGATGAGAAACCTTGTGAGACAGCCGTACTCACAAGACGACAAAATCACGAGAGAATCCATCTTGTCAGGCTTCAATCTATGTGTTTGTGTCATGGTGTGGTTGTACCGGGCCAATCGGCGTTCTTTCAGTATTCCCTGAAAGAACGCCGATTGGCCATTTTAACGCCAATTGGCCCGTGTGACGTAGCGAGAAGATAACTAACCCTAACCCATAGAGGTTAGCGTAGATGTTGCTAGCAAGTATTAGTTACATCAGAACTGGAGAGTATTTCTTCATTGAAAGAAGAGCAAAGGGGCTTTTCTTGATGGTTCTGTGTAACAAACCATGTGGCGCAGGCAGGTTAGGACGAGAGTGCTCCTGTGTTGGTTGCACTCCATTCTGTCATGCTCACGTGGCTCCACCCGCCCGTGCTGTCCATTTTTCTACATCACAACAACTTGTGTGTTGACACTGGTGTCAGTCTTGTCTCCTGGCAGCGGTGGTAAACAGTCACACTCTGATAATTATGGGGGTTATGGGGAAAAGGGACTCAAACAAACTCATTGTGAAAATAGCCTTAGCCTCACATTTGGTCTACGTGCTGTTTCAGAGGTTTTTCTTCCTTGCAAAGAGGGGTTTTCTGGACTGTTTTCATTTTCATTAAAATATGAACAATTTCCACACAAATAACAGCATAAAATTAGAATTCAAATAAACAAATGTATAGATAAACCCACAGAAAATAGTGACATGAAATTGTTACCAACCTGCCACAAAGCAGACCCTCCAGAGGCCGGAGTGCAGAGCCATCTTGACCTCGGTGGTCTGGTTCTGCTGCAGGACGATCCCCTCCTCCATCAGCAGCCAGTAGTCTGTGGACACGGCGACGCCGACCAACAGCAGACCACAGGCCCCGAAAACCGACGAGAGCAGCGTCAGAGCCCTCGTACTGAATGAACTCATCTGTGGAGAAAAAGGGAACAATCGTGCAAGTCAGACGTGGGCTCAGCCTGCGCGCTGAAGAGGAGGAGAGGATATTCAGAAATGTGTTGGATTTAAATGAGTAAACATGAAGAAGGGACAACAGCACAGAGGAAAGTATTCTGTTTGTTTAAGGATTAGAGAGATGGAGGACTTCAAAAACAAAAAAACATGTCAAGATGCAAGAAAGAAGAGGTAATGGGACAGACAAAGATTGATTTAATTGATTGAATTTTACATTTTAAATTATGCACAAGCAAACGAGGGAGGTAAGAAAACAAGAGTAAGGAGCCTTTGATTTAAATCTTTCTTGACTTTCATTGACTCCAGCTTTTAAATATGTATGTAATATCGGACAGGAGAGCAGATGAAAGAAGAGAAGAGAGAACAACCTTGGACGTTTTCGTGTTGAAAATATCAAACTCCTATATCAACAAAATAATCCAGCTCTCCTCATCGTTTAAAGAATTAGTGCACTGAACAGCTCCTCACACCAATCCCGAGGATTTAAGATGTTTTTTCTTAACATATCAAGGAACAGAAAGCATAAAATGCCAGTAAAATTCAAGGACTGGTGGATAGAATAAACAGAAAATAAACAACAACGCAGAGAAGGAGGCCAAGAGACGATAAATGATGCTCTGAATTTAAGAAATTCTGGGAATTAAAAAAAAAACAGGCGTTGAGTCATCTTAAGCCCAAAATTCAACAGAAAGTTTTTGAGGCGTAGAAGTCTTCAAATGACACCATAATGTAATGAATGCAAGCAAATTACATTATACGGTGGGCAGAAAAGTATATTTAGTTTACACTGACTGACTCAAATATTTTAGTGTGAGTTTAATAATGTCTGCACCCAGACAATGATTGTTCTAATCAATCCTGCAGGAATCTTGGAAAATAACAAAAGCATCTTGTTTATAGTTGAATCAGTGCGTAATCCCTTCCGGAGACAAAGAAAAAACAAAAATCTTTGACAAGAAAGAAAGAAAGAAAGAAAGAAAGAAAGAAAGAAAGACAGAAAGAAACAGCTTGATTTCGACTGTGCCTGGAAGGTGAGAAAAACATATTGAAGATTGTACCAGCAGTAATGTTAAATATACAGAATTTACAATAAATTATAAATTATAAATGAATTTTGGAATGGTGATAGAATATATTCAGTCTTTAAGAGTACTTTTGGTCTTAAACTACAAAACATAACGGATTTGGCCACGATCACAGCCCCTGTGATCCTCTAATGAGCCATTGCTGGTATCCAGCAGGCAAGACCAGTTTATCAGGCTTCCAGGTAACATGCAGTGCAGTTTGACACTCACTAGGTGGCAGAGACGCTGCCTCTGCCATGCATCATTTCAGCTGTTGACACACTGAGAAGCATTCTCTCTCTCACACACACACAAAAACACACACAGCGCCTCATCCATCCAGTCAAAATGGAGGTCACAGTCACCATGATGTGGTCTCTGTAAGTGAAGCAAGCGTGAAACATCACAGACTTCTGTAGTGCTAACCAAAAACTGTAAACACAGTGCTGCTCTGCTCTGGTAAAACACAGGTGGACTGAACAAAAACAAGCATGGGTCCCACTAAATCCAAAGCTCTTCTAGCAGACCTTTATTTTTCTATATTACTGTCTGAAATTTGTGTCCAATGAAACTATTTTCATATGAATAAATTACTTGACAGTCATATAACCTGCCTGTGTGTGCTGCAAGTCTACAATTATAATAACAGCCAGGCCACATGCAGTTCACATCACCTGCAGCCACAGCACAAACTATTAATTAAAGCTGAAGTTGGACCATGTTAATACAGTTCAATAGAACATGCCGTGAGCTTAATGTGCATTTAAAAAATACAAATTGTCTGCAGTGCTGAGAGTAAACACAATTTATGGAAATACTGACACATATAAAGTTTGAGCTATTAATGGACAAACTCTACCACATAAGGCGACAAATAGGGTGTCAAGATATATTATCAATATCATTTGGTACCCCTAAGATGTGGCTGAATTAGTTTTTTTCTATTTGTTTTTTAGTTAAGGTTTTTGGGAGGCTTTATCTGACTTTACGGTTTCAACATCTGTAGACACTTTTAAATGAAATCCTAAGACATATAAACATTGCTTTCTTATCCTGTATTTTATTCCATCTTTTCTGTCTTTTATCACAGAAATCTTTGCTTTTATAAATGCCATTGTTTTCATTTGGTTTGAATCTTTTACATGAATTGTGCTATAGACATAACCACTACAATCTCCAGGCAGCATGCACTTTTTAATATTATAACATTATGTGACTTCAGTTGTCCAGGAGGTGTTCAGACTCTAAAGAGCATCAAAAAGATGGTTCTAAAACATTTTCATCTGTTCATGTTAAGATTTAAAATGTACTAAACCCCTACATTCTGCTCCCTCCCTCTCAACAAATTTAAGAAACAGAACAGAGGACGGCACAGGAAAATCCTATAGGGGGCGTGGCATGACTACAGAGTGTGTGACGTGGGAGGTAACACCGGCCAGATTGACCACCGCTCAGTGTAGCAGGAATACAACTGTAAGTAGTCAGAGCTAACTGAGCTAACCAGCCATGAGCAGCTGCTGTCAGACTCTCCATATCTGCACTGGAAACAGAGAGTCTGCTGGAGCTTCGTCACTAGAAGCACATTCACAGCTGTTTGTTAAAGTTTCTGTATGGTGCGTATGTTGTAACGTAAGCAAAGGTAGCAGATCAGAGAGGATAACTCTCTACTGTCTGTCGGGGAGTGTCAGGCTACGGCTACATAGCAGGCCACAGTTTGCAGCTGGGAGAGGTTTTTTAGGAGCGGGCGGGGAGAGGGGGGGAGTTAGTTGGTGATGAAAGCTGCCACCATACAACACCTGCCTCCCGATCAGCCATAAGTTAAAATCAATTGCAATAGCTCAAGGATTTATAAGCCACTAAAATGTCATTATTTGGACCTGAAGCAATCAACAACACTGCTACCCAAATATATACAGTAGCTGAAAAAGGTTTAGTTTAGGGGTTTAGTTACTCAACACAGAGGACACAAGTCACACAAGTTACTGACTTGAACTGAAATCAGTGTAAGAGGAGTCAGAGAAACTTCAACAACTCAGGTGCTTCAGGTTATAAGTTAGGCTGATGATGTCATTTTGTAAATAAGAAAACCTGCTATGTTTGCAGTGCATTAACACATTTTTTTTTTTACAATTGCCTTTTTAAAAGAATATTTACAGTTAACCTCCTCCTCGTGTTTGACTACCAATACCTGACATTGATTTTGAAGGAGGTTCAGTGACTTTTAAGACCTTGTTTATGAGGCTGAGAAAGAGAGGAGCGAAGCCGATAAGAGAACAGCCGAGAACAAAATGAACTCGGCAGACAAGATCAGAACCGTAGAGATAAGAAGCAAAAAGAAAGTCGCTGTCAGGCAGGAAGAGAGTGAGGAGTGACCTCATCACTCAAGCGAAACGCTGCAGAGCACATTCAGCGGTGTCAGAGAGGATTCGCTCACTCAGACATGAGTCACGCGTTACAAATATTTGATATGGTAAAACACCCCTCGCCTCGGGTGAACCCATCCAATCGAAATCCCCCGCAGAGATAATGGCAGACACATCAGGTATGCAGTGGAGTACGTGCAAATACTCACGTGTGCACATGTGACCGAAACAAAACACATGAAGAACAGCATACATACACACAACACACACAAAGTAGAGACCCAGAGGAGGCTTGATCGCTGGCTGAAGGTCTTGAAAATGGTTGAGGTTTGTGGTGTGACCTCAACCAAGAACCATGTATGAGTCTCAAATACCTGAGCTTGTAGATAAGTTATAAATATTTAAAACGTGGTTTAAAAGGGTTTATGTGTGTTTGTGGTGGGAGACAGACAGTCCAACTTGTATTATTTTTTTCAGGCAACGCATGAATTTCAAAGCAGGGCCTACAGCTCAATACAATCCCTGAAATATATCAAAACTGCAGCAGAACATGCAGAGTTTTATAAGTTGGCTTGTCTTAAAAGTACAGGAAGAAGGAGGCAAGAGAAAGCAGTGTGACTTTCTCCTGCCAGCAGAGTCAACCACAAAGACGTCACTGAAAGACGTCCGACACTTCGAGACGTCAGTGCCTCAGAAAGTCACATCCTCTGAATAAGACAAAGGTGATTTGTGCTTGGCTCGTGTAAATAAGCATCAGTCTTAGTGCTGGAAATGTCAGGCTCAACATGAGAGGCAGTCAGACGATCAGCGCTGCTGAGTCAAAACACACAAATCCATCCTCCACTTAGAGCAGAAGAGACAGAGCTGAGTACCTGCAGGACTCAGATAACTGTCACACCCCACAGGCTTTCAGATAGCTTAATTCATGCTGTTTCTCTTGACTAAAACATACATAGTATAATAACTTTCAGACTTATGAAAGGGCACTACGGATGAAGGAGATTGTTCTCTTTGAATTGTTCAATTTGGAGATCCAGTTGTTTATATAACTCCTTTGCTTCTCTGAAAGGCACAAACTGTAACTTGCTGCCCTACAAAAGGCAGAGTTATTGCAGTAACAGTGACTTTGAGAAGAAAATGGTTGAAATTTTTCAGGCTGCAAACTTTGGAATACATAAGAAGGTTGTAATGTCTTTTTTTAAAGCTTAAGCTGTCTGTTCCAATCAAATCAATGGCATATCATTTATGTAGACTACTTACAAATACTATAGTCTATGGATTATCAAAAGGAATTGTAAGAAGAAAATACAGTAGGCCTATCCTCAAACACTCGGTTTAGTGGATTAAAAAACTAAATTAGATTTGGTTAATCAAAATTAATACTTTTCAATTACAGATAACAGCTATAGGGAAAAAATACGTGACATCAGTGCACATTTAGTTTTAGCTCTAGGCTAACCGTGGCTAGCACACCACTGCAGATGGTTTGACTTGGCCTCAATCTTTTCTACACGTGGGGAACCGTATTATCTGTAAAAATATGTTGGGTTTCTGATGGATCAGCACAATATCTGCATCCCCCAAAATAAATCTTTCCAGTTTTAGTCATGCTTATATTTTAGTCTTAGAGCTGTGGCTTTAACGGAAGCCTGAAGAAAATGTGGGTTTGGAGGACAAGAGCTGTTGCAGTGGGTCAGTGCATCAAATATTAGAGAGCTCTCTCTCTCTCTCTCTCTCTCTCTCTCTCTCCACACACACACACACACACACACACACACACACACACACACACAGACACACACATAACTGAACCAAGCCTGTATTTGCTGAGATAGCTGACAACAAATAGGCTGGGATGAGGTTCTCTTTGTAGTTTAAGCCTTGAGAATAACCACAATTCCCAGGTCGCACCAGCCGCTAACTAACTCTGTGTGTGTGCTGGGAGAATCCAAGAGCAGAGGCGATGTAATGAATTACAGATGAATGGAGCACTGGTGCTTAGGAATAAACAGTCAGAGGTAATGATGTGGGGGAAAAGGGGTGAGGGAAGGTGGAAAGAGGAGAGAAGGTGGATGCTTGTGAAGAAGGATTTAGGAGTAGAGAGAAGGAGGAAAGAAATGAGAAAGTGTAGAGGAAGGTCAGAAGAGTTGGAAGCCTGATGAAATGAGGAAGATGGTGGGTTAGGAAGAGGAGGAAGAACAAGGAGTTGAGGAAAAGGATCGACTGGATAGCTCACCTGGTGGAGCTGGCGCCCCATGTACAAAGGCTGAGTCCTTGCTGGAGCGGCCATGGGTTCGAGTCCGACCTGTGGCCCTTTTCTGCATGTCATTCCCTCTCTCTCTGACCCCTTTCCTGTCTATCTTCAGCTGTCCTATCGAATAAAGGAAAAAAGCCTCCAAATGAAGGAAGGAAGTGTAAAGGTAAAAGATGTGAAGGAGGAAAGGTTATAGAACTAGAGAAAGGAGGATCGTTTTGGAAGCAGCATAATTAATTCAATGAAATTTTAGGCATTGCAAGAGACTAGCCATGTTTCTATTCCACAAGTCTTGGTATTTTTTTTTATCTAATATTTATAATAATAATAATATTTATCCATTTTACATGAGAAACATTTTCAGGAGAATCCAGCAGTGAGCAGCCTCCTGGGGAGCTGTCCATCACTGTGGTGCTGAAATCCTCACAACACCCAACAAGCCTGATTCTCCTTCTCTCTGCTGTCAATATAAACTCTTTCTGTCGCTCATTCATTTTCTCTCTGTCTCTCGACCAGGGCCGTCCACACCCTCCTCTTTAGCCCTTTTTGATGTTTTGCAAACTGAATCACTGTTACATGTTGTGTCAGCTTTCAAAATGTCCCCTCTTCATGTTTTCTCGTCTCAGTTTCTGTACGCTGTTGAGACTGTCCTTGTTTGTCCAAACAGTTAAAAGGCCTGTTTACTGTAGCCGTGTAAATACTGACTGTTGACTCTGAGAAGGAAAGACCAAAAAACCTCTTGTGAAAGAGGTTGGGGAGGATAGTTAGGTCAACAAAGCTGCTGACTCGAACACAGGAGACTGCTGTACCACGTATTTTTAGAAGTAAACATCTCTTATTTATACACTTATGTCTGCGATATGCTCTTTTCCTGGAGGTAAGGGAAGGGAAGGCCAGAGGTCTGGGGTCAGCTGCAGTACCGCATATCCTGGAGAAGACAGTGCTTATTTTTCATGCTCAAAGGCATATCAGCAGGGCAAATGCTCACTGATTTCATTTGATTTATCTTCTATCTACTTTGGCTGCTGCCAGTCATCTTGTTGCACATCAAAATCTGAGTATTTGTCTGTTTTCCCGGTTAAACGATTATAAAATGGTATGTGGAATGACTTTATATAATCACAGACCTGAGGCATTGTTAGCAAACCATCTGTGTCCCTTCAGCACAGTTTCCAAAAGTAAAAATGAACATTGCCAAGGGTTAAATTTAATCCACCTCCTAGCTTCTTCATTACAAAGCAACAGGCTCGAAACAATAGTCGTCAGCGATTTAAATTTTTATTTGGATTCATTATTAATTCGGTTTAATTTAAATTTTATTGGAGGCTTAGAAGCATCTTCAATGAAGTCCAACTTAATGAATGTGAGTGTGTGTTGCTAATTAAGGCATTAAAGCACGGTTGTCAGTGTAGGAGTGATAATAAGTTTCCTTAATCAGGAGCTTTGTACATATGAATTAATTTCCGGAAATAGGCCATTTACTTAATAAAGAGCCCATTGTGCACTATAGTCTGAGAGACGTCTTTTATCTACTATCAACAAGCTATGTGATTATTGTGACGGGTTTGTGTTGAAAATTGTGCGTCTCACTTAATGAATAAAGACACAAATAAGGTGGACTGAACTAAATTCTTAATCAGATGAAAATGAAGCGATAATAAAGGATTAATAGAGGATATAATGAATTTGGACACATTTGAAAAAAGTGGTGAATGAGTCATCATATGGGAAAAGATCACGGTACAACTTTTACCTCTCAGTCTGTTAAAAGCAAAACTTTTTCTTTTCTCAATCAGCTTCTTACTATGACATGAAGAAATGTTTTTGAGCTTTAAACCCTTTTTTTAAACTTCAATTAAATACGATTAAATGAATCAATCTGACTAAACAGGCAACAATCAGTGACGTTATTTTAAAAATACGTGGATTTTAAGCCAGGTTTTTATTGACTTTAACTTTCACTTGAGCGACAAGTTCAGCTAAAAAAGGATAGGCCTACTCGAATTTGGTTTCTTACAGCAGTTATAAATAAAAAGCTTGGGCTTTGACCACTTCCATGTTAAACAACAGAGTAAATAACGGAGTTCCAGCACAGGGCTGTATCTATAGCACTGAAGAGACTAAAGTAATGTCCTCAGTAATTTCTTGAAATTTGGCAGCATATGTTTTTAAAAAGCTAGATCTGACTGACCTGATTTACTTTTGATTGACTTTTAGATTAAATAAGTTAAATTTGTACTGCTTAGGTGAAAGCTATATTAATTAAAATGGATTTAGTATTCAGTGAATTTTGACTTATTACCACAGTATTTCTAACATCTTGACTGCCGGCCTGCTCCGGAGAGGCCAAACTCAAGGAGCATTAGTCATAAACAAAACCTCACCAGACCTGATCAATATTTTTTACAGTTGACTGAGAAAGAAATTTTCCCAAATACTGTTATCCAACAAGCACCCGGACACCAGAATGTATCAATATTTAAGTACATCTGTGACCTCTAGGAAACTTAACTATACCAGTCAACCCGAGAGGATTAAAAGTTTGGCTCCTAAAATTAGGAAGTGAAGAAATGAAAAAAAAAAAAAAGAGGGAATCAGATGAAGCAGAAAGACTGCAACAACGGCCGGTCAATATGGAGCGGGGCAAATCAACTGCTGAGCATCACGAAACTACACGTCCCATGGTGCCGGGCGGGGCTTCACAGATGGCGTTCCCAGGTTAGCTTGCTAGCTTTGGGGGAGGGTGGGTGTGTGAGTGTGTGTGTGTGTGGGGGTGTGTATGTGGGGGGGGGTGTTTTCTGTTGAGAAGGCAATATGTCCCTCTGTCAGCAGTGAGGGGCTGGCTTGTGCCAACTGGCAGGAAAGGAGATGGATATTTAAAGATGGAAAGAATGGAAGACAAGATAAAGAGGGGAGAGGAGTCATACAGGAGGGGATGGTGAATAGAAGGGCAGGGGGAAGGAAAGAGGGAAACAGAAGCAGGAATGAGCAGAGGTGGATCAGATACATCTATTGGCTTAAATAACTCCACATTCATTTGTAAAGGGGAATAAGAAAGGAAGAAAAGAAGAAAGCAGTAGGATGGCGAGTGGTATGAGACATAAGAACAGGTCAAAGGGATTATGGAAAGTAAGAATAGAGTGAAATGAGCTGAATGCTGGAAGCAGTTAAGTTAGTAAGGGATGAAAAAAGAAAGGAAGAGACAGAGGAAAAAGCAAAGCAAGCAAAGAAAGAAGATTGAATGAGGAAGTGATTGCTATTCAAGAAAAAGTAATTACTTCTGAAATACCAAAAACAACTTATCTTTTAAAAATAGCATCAAATTCTCCAGATGAGACAATCCCTAAGAATGATGCTGAACCACGTTCATGTCTCAGGGAGCCGCCAGAGGACTCTCATTTCTCAAAGCGGTACTTAAGACGATGAAAGCTTTGGGAAACAAACCCTCGTCCTGTAGTCTGTAGAACGACTGCTGGACTGATAAAGATAATTAGCTTATGCGGCGGGTAAGAAAACACACACACACACACACACACACATACACACACACTAGTGAAAATGAGGGAATGCCTGCAATAGACTGTTAATGTGCTGAGGAGAGGTAGATAAAATAGAGGGGGAGATAAGCAGAGATACAGTGAAAGGATAACGGAGGAGAGGAGAAGAAAAGGAAAGGGAGCTTACAAGGAAAGACCTTGGCCCAAAAAATGGAGGAAAGTCCTTGTACCACACACACGCACACACACACACACATACTGTACGTCACACATGCACCACAGCTGGCAGGCAGTGTTAAGTGTGACACATCCTACATGCCTGTACTTGTGCAGAGCAGTATTCACAAAACCCTCCACCACCCAGTCACACACACACACGTCTTCACTCACCTTCACTCAGTTTGAATGTTGTATAATGTGAGGTCACATTTGACTTTGGCCAGAGGGGGAATCGACCTTAACTCTGAATGATACAAACACGGAAAATATATCACTGCTGTTGGGTGGAAAACTTGCATCTCCAAACTGTCTGCTTGTCAGAAAAAACAGCCTTGTTTTCCACTTGACTGCGCTGATTTCTCTTTAGGTACCGATTTTCGTCATGAACCTGCCAAGCCTGGGAACCAGACAAATCTGCAACTCATGTTTTATTTGCTCTGGCAGATGCGTCTGGCCGGCCTCCCATCAAGACCATCCTGTTTCTGGCCAGGCCAATCACAACCTATCTAACATGGGGTAGGTTTGATACGATGGCTGTACAAAGGAACGCCACCTCATTGGCCGTTGAGGCGTTTTCGTGAAGTGATTCTGTTGAATCCGGCATCACGTCAGTATTAAATGAACTGGACGGCAACTGCACTGACAGCTTTTGTTGAGAAGAAAGATGTATTTGCCATACTTCAGGATTTCGTATGTTTAATTTACTATATGCTACATCCCATTTCATTGCTCTGATGAGGCTAGAAAGGGGGGGGGGCTAATTCCAACAGTTGTAACTTTCTGAAACCAAAAATCTGAAAGCTACATCCTCTTCATGGAGTGATTGACAAGGTGTGCTGAGGAAAGAAAGTATGCAGGCTTTGATCTTTTCTCTCAAGCCCTCTTTTGTCATTCCAACTACTTTTTCCACTTTTTGTATTAACAACTGGGTGCAAAACTATGAATGCCTTTGAGGAGAGACAGTATGAAAGTGTGTTCCCTTGTCCTCATTTGTAGGATTAATTGTGTTGAGACAACAAACATGCAAAACACACAGTCCTTGGAGAGAGATCGGAAAGGCTGTGGGATGTAACCAAAAGGAGGCTATGACGTCAGGCTCTTTGCTCTGCCATTCAGATGTGGCCGTTCAGAGCTTTAGATGTCTGTAGATGTAGTTAGACAATATGAATGAGTTTGTTTCAAGCATGTTGAATTCCAACAAGTCCTTCAACCTTAGCGACATCATGCAATTTCCCTCCAAAAAACGTTACAAAGAAAAGAAAAAGCTTCATATATGTGTTCTCTGATCTTCCATCTTTGTGCTTGCCGTTCAGTTTGGTCCATGCAACTAAAACCACTTGGTCAAAATTAGGAGAGGATTGTTGCCATGGCTGTAAGAAATCAGTGCTGACAGTTAGGAAATGAGATGCAAATAGCAATCTCTAACTTCTGAGTGAGGTGCTCTGTATGCCCAACCATCCACCCCAACCTCATGCTTCGGGGTGATATCAAGCTACTTCTGCAATTGCTTACTACAGTCCTTATTAACACAGCCACATGAGATCACTTGTCAGAAAAAAATAAAAATACCATAGGTTGCTTTGAAGAAATACTAATGCAATAGTTTTCCTAATGGATAATTTAAGTCTCTTGGAAGTAAGAGACATAGCAGAGCAAACGCTTCCAGCATCATTTTCTTGGACAAACTCAATCAATCAACCACTTCTGCATTGCTGTATGACTCCAAGGACTGTAGTCTCTACAAGTCCCTTCTTCTTGCCTTCTCCTATATAACCACAAATTATCATCCATGTTTTCTTCTTTTGATTCCAGTGTCATTGCTTCAATAGAATCACTGCAAGATTTTGTCCCTGTGTAGTTTTCTATTTTATTTTTAGCTGTAATTTGACAGTGGTTTTATTTGAATTTAACCAAACAGTCTCATCATTAACAAAAAAGCTACCAGTAATTTATGCACAAAAACAACAATTAACAACATTTTCAGTAGCAAGTTTAGATTTTAATAATGTCCAGTCTTGGGTCAGGCTTTAACAACTTGCGACTATTTTGTAATAGAGTTTTTTCTTAATGAGGTGTGCTCTAGACCTCCTTGACCTTGATAGGATTGAGGTTAAAAACAGAACAAATGTGGTTATTGGGCCAATTTTAAACTTTTTAAATTCTTGGATAAGGCTTCATCAGCCTTAGAGGGGGTAATTTGTCACAGCCAAATGATCCTGTTGCTGAACTTGCTGTAAAACACGAAATCTGTAGTCACAAGGTATTAATGTGACAGCAGAGACGTGTTGTTATCTCTCTGTTGGACAAATGTATCTCAAGGACTTTACAGTACCTTGAGTAACCCCAGTGGGAAATGAAGCACTGACCATGCCACTGATGGTGACTCATGCCATCAATCAACCGTTTAAACAACTGAAGTTCGTGGGTGATTCATTTCCCTTCACCTCAGAGAGCTGCACGCCATCTGACAATGATAATGCTTCACGTCTCATACAAGCACTGTGCAAATCTGTATACATCTCTGCACCGAACGTTTGTATATTATACCAGACCTTCTAACCCACTGTACAAGCTTTTGAGATTCCCCAATAACCCACTCATACTTTCAAGAGGAACTAATTATTTCATTCAAGGCCTATTCTACTACTTTTTAAGAATGGGTCTTTCAGGTAAACCCACTTTCCCTCAACCAACCTTGTCTAATTCTACCTCAATTTATGGTTTACTACATTTCCTTAATTGTGCTTTTATTGTCATTGTGCTTTTACTGTAGCTAGGAATTATACTTTAGGTGTAGCATAAGAAAGCCACTGTAATAATAATGAAGAGGAGAACAGTAAAGGTTTTCTTGTGAAGAATTCAAATTCTTCTTCTCAGATGGATTTCATCTTGCTGGATTGTTGCAAAATGGCAACAATGTTAAAAACCATGTCCTTTGATACTAGTCCCTGATGTTTATAGGATTAAGGTGGCTGAAACATTCATTTTTAAACTTGTTCTGCAGTTAAGGGTAGGCAATGCTCACATGGTTAGATGCTATTACTGTTCCCGCTAACTATTCTGATCTACATCTGCTTATTCCACATGAACTGATGTTGAAAATGAAATATTAGAAAGTAAAATATTGACTGCAAGCACTCTCACTTCACAAGGCCACTCAAGCAAGGTCTTCCTCATAGCCGGGTGAGGGTTACCTTTCTCAGTGTATTAATTGCACTTGTAACAAGCCCCGAAGGAGGTCTACAAATGTTTTAATGCAGTCAGCTAGAAAGTCAAAGAAGAATAATTCAAATGATTGTGCAGCAGTGGATTTTCCCAAAAAAGTGTCTGAGCTGCACAGTATTTTATACTCCCTCACGTCCAACTCTGCCCATCATAGAAGTGCAGCTCAACACAAGATAACTATTGATTTGTGTGTAAAATACTTACTGGTAGATAATTTCCGAAGGTTAGACTGCTTGCGAGGTATAACCACGAGAACCATCTTTTATTTTCCATTCCACATGACATGTATGCAAATGCTAATGAAAACGCTTTCGCACACTAGCTAAAGGTTAAATCATTCCATTGTAACATATATCTGTAGGCAGGTTTCCATCCACCTGTCTTTATGCACATTTTCAATTTGCGCATAAATAAAAACTAAGAAGAAACACTGAAAATTCTGAGAAACTAAGAAAAGAAATATCGCAATTTCAATATGTGCAATGGAAATAGATTCAGCAAATAAAATGAATCATGAAGTACATGAAGCATGTGATTTAAAAGTCCAGGGTGTAACATCTATTCTGCATTCTACATCTGATCTACTGACAGCAATGGAATATAATGTGTGTATAATCATCTGAATAACGGTTTGATTATGATATGTTTTTATTTACACCACAGGTCGCCTTCCGGGAAGGCCGCATGTTCAACCGCCCAGAACAGACAAACCAAGCACTGGCATTAAGACCTTGAATTTTGAGGCAACCGTAGTTTCTTCTACACACCGCCTGTTCTCATTCCCAGGTAACCAAATACAGTATGCAAGCAGTGTTCAGTTAGAAGCGATCTGCAGTTTCACCACTAGATGCCACTAAATCCTACCCACTGGTCCTTTAGATGTGCAGTGAAGTGTCCGCTCCACCAAAGAGACGAAAAATGTTGGCAGGCATCGTGTGGAATGAGGAGACCGTAACCGTCTTCATCATCATTCTTTTCCTTCATTTGAGGTTTGACTGCCTCTCTTCTAACTATGTCCTCTCGTTGCGCCCTCTTTTTCTACAATTGTATTATGGCACCCGACTGGAGCATTACTGCCATCACTGCTAGATCTCGATGAACCAACTCCTAATATTTGTAGCAGTGGATGAAAACGCACATATATTTGCATTTCTCTTTTGCTGATTTTCTGAAAATTGGGGTAATATCATTACATTTGGAAGGAAAAATAGCATTCACACATATTTTACATACATCATTATAAGGTCTATTCTAAGATTCTGTAACTTATATCACAATTTTGCACAGTTTCTAATCATATTACAGTATTGCTCTGTTATTACATGCAGATTCCCTTTGAGCAGGAACATCTGTGCAGATTCCCTTTGTCTTTAACAGAATAGTATACATTAGTTCACTTGAATTACCAGAATGCCGACTGGAGATAGCAGGAAATTAAAAAGCTCTTCAACCTGCTTTCTTCTCCACAACACACACACACACACACACACACACACACACACACACACACACACAGGCACTATGCATATATATGTAGAGAGAGAGAGAGAGAGAGAGAGAGAGAGATGGACCCAATAAGAAGTGCTGCAGTCTGCTGGAACAGTATCACAGGATGGGTTCCCCGAGAAGGAGCCAAGAGTTTTTAGAGCAGACACACACACACACACACACACACACACACACACACACACACACAAATCTGCACACAGTCTCACCCTCACACATGTTTGCCTCACTCCTGGTCTCTCCTCCCTCTCCTCTCCTCTTTCTCTCTCTGAAACACACACTGCGCGCCGCTGGGAGCGAAGCAGCTTTACTGTGCTGTTCTCCAGACTCTACATTGACTGTACAGTGTAACAGCGCGCTCCTTCCAAATGCGCCACACTAATCACTGTACAGTACATTCCTCCGCTAACAGGCCAGGAAACAGCCGTGCAGACACACTCATCAACGGCTGTCAACTACACAGCGCACATCTCCTCTCGCCTCAAACCGAGGTGAGCAGAGAGAGACTTGAGGCTTCCCTCTTATACAACATCCCTGGCTTCTTTTAAGGAGGACGAGGGAGGCTAAAATTGTATGTCAACACACAGTCACATGCATGAGCATCATTTCTCATCCTTGCAGCCGAAATAGAAGTCCTGACGTGCGCAGCCAAAGAAGCGGAGCTCGCCTCAACAAGCTCAAAGAGTGCGAGTGGCTTTAAAACAGATGTGAGAGGAGGGGAGGTTAGAGTGAGGTGATGTGAAATGATGAGGGATAGGCTGCATGGGTGGAATGAAGGGTTTGGAAAGGCGCAGTTAAAAATAAGGCAGCAGAAGCTTTACTCACCCTGCGGAGCGGAGAGCTGGTCGGACGGTGCAGCCGACGAGAGATCTGTGCGCACTGGGAAGCCTGGCCACCAAATTTGCAGTTTCCCCCTTATCTCTCTCTCTCTCTCTCTCTCTCTCTCTCTCTCTCTCTCCCTCTCTCCTGCTCTCGCCAGTCACCGCACACACTCTCGCTTTTTTTCGTGTCTCCCCGTATCTCCCCTCTTCTCCTCTCTTTTCTCCCCCTCTTTCACTCCTCCTCCTTCTCCTTCTTTACTTCACTCTGCTCTTCCAGCAATGCGGAGAATCGGTTGAATGGGCTTCACTGTAGTTTGGGTATAGGGAGGTGGGACTGGAGTGTGTGTGTATGTGTGAAGGAGAGGAGAGGAGGAGGAGGAGGAGGAGGGGGGTACAGTGATGTAGGCTAGAGGGATAAGACGCGCGCGCGCACACGCACGCACACAGACAGCATGGCATAAGAGCGTGCTGGCTGGAATTGAGGACACATCATGCAAGCTGACAGCATGACTGATTCAAACATACAGCAACAATTAGCATCGTGTAACTCATTAATGAACAAAACACCCAAACATGGATCTGTAGTGTGAGCGTGCGTCCATTTTTCCCTCTATAATAACTGAGGAAAATGATTGACAGCAGTGAATAAATCTCCAGCAGGGAGCCAGAGGAATGAAACGAACTCGAATGGTTTGATTTGACAGTTTTGTTTCTGTAGGGAGCCACTAAAATCAAAAGTTGACACACTGTTGGAAAATGTCCCTCTGCGTGAGTCAAAAAACTGTTTGGTTGTAATGAATGCGCGGATAATGCGACATTAACTACTAATTATTACTTAAAAAGTGATGTAACTATTATGATGAAATAGTAATACTGACCAATAATGTAAAGTGGTGTTAGTCAGGAGGCCCCAATGAGTTTATTATTACATGATCAGTTTAAATCTAACATGAAGGAATAATTGTTATTTGATCATCTTATAGACTTTGATCAGAGGGTGCTGACTGGTTTTGATAATTCAGTTAGTCATAGCTTTGCAGCACACTGACATCATAACTGATTGAAACATACATTAGTAATTAGCATTGTGCAACTAATTAATCACCAAAACGTCTAAAAATGCGACTGCAATTCAGCTTAACTTATAAGAAAAGATCAATCTATTCTACAGAAATTGATTAACAGAATTAAATGAACTTACAGAAAAATATCCTAATATTATTGGTTTATATGGAAATGTCAAAATGTAAGATTAGAAACTCAGGACTATTATGTAATCAGTGTTATTGCATGTTTTAAGTGATGACAATGCATTAATAATAATGACCAATAATGCAATGTTGCGTAATAATAAGATTAAACTAATTTCCATTGCTGAAAGTTATTACATCATCAGTTGAAAACATTTAAGAAAGAATAATTAATGATTATAGGACTAACTGGATTATTAATAGGCACCAACTAAACTTTAAAAGGCAACCAGACAAAGAAGGTCATTGTCCTAGGTGCCCCAGACTCTCAGGGGACCTGAAAGCTTCAAGTTCAAGCTCACTATGGGCCACATTTTTGACCAGGGCCCCCCACAGAGGGTTAATGTAGTCTGCTTAGTTACAAGTTAAAACCAGTCAGCTTCTGTACAACCAGACAGCATGGGTTTATAAATTATTAAGAGAGCAGTTTGATTTCAAGTCTCAATAGTATTCATTTCAAATCATTCTTTGACCCTGACTGGCCAACAGCAGCATTTGTTTATATACCACTAAGATGCTTTGCCAAATTATTGCTGCCTGGTTAAAACTCACTGCCAACATTTTCTTTCAATGCAGTAAATGTGCCCTCTGCACAAAAGTCATGGGGAGCAGGTCTGGGTGGAACATTGTTACACCAGAGACCATGGATCCGCGATGTGCATCCTGCTGCGTCTCGTATGTTGTTAGGATTAGGCAAATCAAACCACGTGGTTAAGGTTAGGAAAAGATAGTGCTGTTGGTTAATTACTGGGGAAGTGAACACATCCAGTCTTGTGTTTCAAGTCAGTGTTGACTAGTATTTAACCAGATCAAGACCTTTTGTTATCTTTAACCAAGTGCTTTGAGGTACCTACATGGCCATTAAAATGATCACTATGCTTTTGTGCCCAAGGAAAAATGCAGTAACTTTAAGCATTCAAGCACAGCCACTGACATTATGATACAATCTCAAAACCACTAATGAGAGAGAGAAAGAACAGGATGTCATATATTTACTTGTACAAGAAAAAAATGGCGTGCATGTGTCTCCCTGTGTGTTTGCATGTGATATTGTGTATGTGTGTGTGTTTGTGTGCTTGTCTGTTATGCCTCCATACCCTCTTTCATGGTTGAGTGGCCCCATCAGCCCCTGGCGACCCACAGACTGATACAGTAGGCTGTGTTGCCCTGTGACTCACTGTGTGTGTGTGTGTGTGTGTGTGTGTGTGTGTGTGTGTGTGTGTGTGTAAATGCATGGGTACATGTGTAGGTAACAAGGGAATTCATCCCACCTGCCATCTTCACACACGCACACACACACACAAGAGGGCCTACTATTTGTAATTAGACAAATATATTTGCTGGTTTGTTTGTTGTTACCAATTTAAGCAACATCCTGGGCTAAAACTGCACAGAACATGATAATAATCATATTCTTCTGCAGCACCATCATACCAATTCAATTATAGGATGTTAAATAAATATTCAGTTACATTTTGAGCTTGAAGTTAACACACAAAAGAGCACATGAATATTTTTGTTCTTCAAAGGATATGATACGAACCAGACACCAATAGCTCAAGTTTAGCATTAGTAAATTAGATAAGTAGCTGAAATAATTAACTTATATCAGATTTCATTGTTGCTGCACTACAGTGAAAACAAAAGTTGTTAGTTATATCAATCCTACTGCCAGACAACCACATAAGTAGTAGACAGTTTTGCAAACCTCTACAATATGTTCAGCAACAAAACGTCCAATGCCAGCATTTTTTAAATTCTCAATTTTTTACAATATTTGTGCAATGAATGTTATTGTTAGGGTTGGATAAATATTGTGGTTATGGAAAACATATTATGGTTAAGGCGTGTAAGGACAGGCAACTAAAACACTTGGTTAAGCTTAGGAAAGATTATGGTTACAATGACTAAAATGGGTAATATTAACATAGTTACAAGTTTTGAACTTACATTAAAGTCAAATGTGCTACATGTGTATCAACCACCTGAACTTTCACACATTCACAATGAATATAAAAAGAATGGACGCAAAACGGCATGGATGCAGTTGGAAGACTCCTGCAATGAGACCCAGTTGAAAGCAGTCACTAATGCAGTAACAAATACCATGAAGAAAGATCTATATCATCTTAAAAATTATGCATGCCTGGGTCGTCATCCTTTCAAGTGCAACGAGAGCCTGATGTGAGCTGACATGTGCCATGTGGTCTCTATAGGGTACAAAGTCAATGGTAATCACATCCCTCAGAACATGTTGACGCTTCGCAGCCACTGGCCTATATTCTCACACACATTTTAATAGTGTGCCTTCAGAAAAAAAAACTATCAGTTCAGCCTCGAAATGGGTCGTCCCCACTGCAGGTGGGCTCTTATCCCTCAGCGCCACAGGACGAGCAATCTGCTTCCATAAGTCCCGTTCCCAGGGGAAAACTCTAAATGTCTTATCCAGGGCTGAAAAAGTGTGAACTGGAGGGAGGATGGCTTCATCATCTGCACAGCTAAGGCTACACGGGATGTTTTTAGTTACTGCAAAAGTGTTTCATTTACTTTGATCAATGATTTGATTTTATCTTTAGACTTGTGTGGATATGACTTCTATGACTATATGGTAATGTTTCTACTGGGGTGTACCACTAGGTTCCATTTTAGTTCTTATTTAATTATCTTTAATCTCTTTTTGGAAAACACAATATTCCTCAACACTTCTATACTGATGACACTCTGCTTTACCTGCCATTGAAACTGGGTGATGCCCCAAATGTCTAAAAAACGTTCTCCAACTGAATGAGAGTAAGTTTAGCCCCCTAGATTCCCATCAGCAATACAGTGTAAAGATTCTTGGGATTGTGTTCTCACATTAAGAAATCAATATGTAATTTTTGCAATTTGACAAATTAACTTTTTATAGATAACATTTCTTTTAACTAAAAATATTACAATCACTTCTCCTATAGGAAATTAGAGAGTGTGTTACATTTGTTTATTTATTTGAGTCTAGACAAATGATAATTTGACTGATTAATTGTTTACATTTGTTGACGTGTTTCAGTTATCTTTTTCTACATTACAAAATGCCCTTTGTACAGCACATACATTTCAAAATACTTTAAAAATAAAAAATTACTTGACCTGAAAAATGCAGCTGTGTCAGTCAGGAAACGTTTTTTTGAAACTTGGAAAATATTGTCCTGCCATTTTAACCTGCCTCGAGTAGGAGCACAAGAGAAACAATTCAAAGTAATGTAAAACTCAATGAATTATATATAAAAATTGTTTTAATTTTTCTTACATGATTGAAAGCTCAAACACAGTTGAATATAAAGTAAAACTCTACTTCACCGTGAAAACACTTCTAATGAGACCCAGAAAAGCATGGGGTTAAGGAACCTCCTGCCATTTATGGAGTAATGTGTGACTCATAATCACAAACATAGTAATAGCGAGGGAGCACATGGCCTATTTAGCTGGTTATTCCCGAGTCAGGCCAACTGGTCCTGAGTCAAATTGCCTTCTGCTGCTGCACAGATCAGGGAAAAAATAACTACTGATGCAGCCATCAGACTTTGCTGCAGTCTTAGTGTTTCACAACTGCCCCAAATACAATGTATCTCTACAGAAAATTTCACACTTTGTCAGGTAGATAAATATAGTTCCCAGCACCCAGCTGTTTGCAAGCAATTTTGCAAACTGGAAGCCAGAAATGGAAGCGAGAGGTAACAGTTTGAAAGTTGGGGACTTGCATATACAGATATCATTGACAGTGGTGCTGTTAAGTGGTGTTCTGTTTTAAAAGTCTCCATTTCAGTTTCTAGAGGTGAGTGCTCAGCTGTTGGAGGAGAGTTACCTCTCTGGCACTTTGCTTTTTATGACAAAGTTACAAAACAAATATACACTATGAAGGGTGAATCAAGAACATTCTTTTCCAGTTACTATACAGTTTGAGTTGCTATTGTGAATGACTAGTGCTATCACAACAGAACAGATGCAGGAGGGTAGCGTTTGCAGTGTCTTAAGTATCTGCATAAAGAAAGACGACATTTATTGTACAATGAGTTAAGAAACTTGTTAAAATAAAAAAATTGCTATATATAAAAAAAGGTTTCACAATG